TATACTTGTCTGTAGTACTTGTAGTCATGTTATATGCACTGGTATACTTGTCTGTAGTACTTGTAGTATTGTTATATGCACTGGTATACTTGTCTGTAGTACTTGTAGTCATGTTATATGTACTTGTATACTTGTCTGTAGTACTTGTAGTATTGTTATATGTACTGGTATACTTGTCTGTAGTACTTGTAGTCATGTTATATGCACTGGTATACTTGTCTGTAGTACTTGTAGTCATGTTATATGCACTGGTATACTTGTCTGTAGTACTTGTAGTATTGTTATATGCACTGGTATAACTTGTCTGTAGTACTTGTAGTATTGTTATATGCACTGGTATACTTGTCTGTAGTACTTGTAGTCATGTTATATGCACTGGTATACTTGTCTGTAGTACTTGTAGTCATGTTATATGCACTTTTATACTTGTCTGTAGTACTTGTAGTATTGTTATATGCACTGGTATTCTTGTCTGTAGTACTTGTAGTATTGTTATATGCACTGGCATACTTGTCTGTAGTACTTGTAGTATTGTTATATGCACTGGTATACTTGTCTGTAGTACTTGTAGTCATGTTATATGCACTGGTATACTTGTCTGTAGTACTTGTAGTCATGTTATATGCACTGGTATACTTGTCTGTAGTACTTGTAGTATTGTTATATGCACTGGTATACTTGTCTGTAGTACTTGTAGTCTTGTTATATGCACTGGTATACTTGTCTGTAGTACTTGTAGTCATGTTATATGCACTGGTATACTTGTCTGTAGTACTTGTAGTCATGTTATATGCACTGGTATACTTGTCTGTAGTACTTGTAGTCATGTTATATGCACTGGTATACTTGTCTGTAGTACTTGTAGTCATGTTATATGTACTGGTATACTCGTCTGTAGTACTTGTAGTATTGTTATATTCACTTGTATACTTGTCTGTAGTACTTGTAGTATTGTTATATGCTCTGGTATACTTGTCTGTAGTACTTGTAGTCATGTTATATGCTCTGGTATACTTGTCTGTAGTACTTGTAGTATTGTTATATGCACTTGTATACTTGTCTGTAGTACTTGTAGTATTGTTATATGCTCTGGTATACTTGTCTGTAGTACTTGTAGTATTGTTATATGCACTTGTATACTTGTCTGTAGTACTTGTAGTCATGTTATATGCACTGGTATACTTGTCTGTAGTACTTGTAGTCATGTTATATGCACTGGTATACTTGTCTGTAGTACTTGTAGTATTGTTATATGCACTTGTATACTTGTCTGTAGTACTTGTAGTCATGTTATATGCACTGGTATACTTGTCTGTAGTACTTGTAGTATTGTTATATGCACTGGTATACTTGTCTGTAGTACTTGTAGTCATGTTATATGCACTGGTATACTTGTCTGTGTAATGAAATACAGGCAGAAAAGGGGTTAAATGAACAAGCATACATTTCAGACCACCACACTGCGTACTAATCCATCACTGTGTGAAATGACAGAAATAGGTGATTAGAAAGCCATGGCCTAGCCAGCTATGCAGAACACACCGCCATGACATCTGACAGTGAGGGATGAAACATTCGACGACTGCCCGTGAACTGTGACCTGCTGATGAGATACGTTCCTCCAAACGTGACCACCAAAGACAGGTGACAGAGAAGTGATGGAGAAGGTACGCGAGAAAGGCGGGAAAGCGGGGGAATAAAGTTAGCCCCGGAACCGCTGGAGAGGACAGTTAGCCACGGAACCGCTTGATAGGACAGGTTAGGAGAAAACTAGTGATTTACTTCGTTTAGAAGGTATATGTTAAACTTGGAGTTTAGCTAGAACAGTCGTTAAGGAACTCGTAGAGAGTCATACGAATAGCCTGTATCCAGATAATACAGTGTTCATATACTATTGAATTTATGAAGCCTCTATGACTGGAATATTGTAAATAAACAGCTCTTGTGTAATTGTTACATCACTGGCCTTGTTCATGAGTACGATTGAAGAGAGATACGAACTATATTCATTCACTTGGCCGACTTAGGCACATCTATTTCTTGGGGGATGTATAGGCACGACTGTGCCACAAGCGATGAGGATATTTGGAGCCGTGACCAACGATCAGTCTTGTGTACTCGACATCTTTAAAAAACAAGACTGCTGTTACAACATAACAAATAAGCAACTGCTATAAAAAGGTGAACTAAAAGCAAGTTTATGATTGTACCTGCTGAGTAAAACAAAAAAGTCGATAAACCCGTCATCAGATTGGAGAGACGTAAACCAGACCAACAGCCTGCACCACCTTTTGGAGCCAACCGTCTACACTAGAATCAGGGGGACACGCCCGTTCTAGCCCGGAGCAAACCGTCTACACTAGAATCAGGGGGACGCGCCCGTTCTAGTCTGGAGCCATAATATAAACTTTTCCTAACTTTACACACTCGGAAGATTATAGGAAAGTCAAGAACTGTGAGCTGTCCGATTTTACAAATAGGAAATGCAAAATAAGCGCGATTTTAAAGAACCTTGAACATTAACATTAATTAGTTTAAATATATTGTGATTTTCAATTTACAGTGATGTAGGGAAAACCTTTTCTTATCTTTCCCTACCTTTCCTATTAACTTAGAAAATAATTCCAGGACAGTGCCGATTTTTAATTACAGTGTGTTGTGAAAAGAGAATTTTTTTTTTCAGACCGCACTCAACAAGGTAATTTGACATTTTCTGTTTTTTCAATTTTAATTTACTTGCATTAGTTAATTTCCCAGATTTTTTTTAAATGGCAGAACAGGGAACAGTAGAAGCCCAGTTCAGCAGAGTTTTAGGAGAAGTCAGCAAGGCTGTCTCCAGATTAGATTGTAGCGTTCGGAGACAGGGAATAACAGGGGTTATTGAACTTTTCAGGGGAGACACAAAAAAGTTTAAAAAGTGGGTAAACGAGATAGAAAAGTATGCTTTCCTTTCAGGTGCGACAAGTTTCGACATCAAACGTTTAGCATACCAGATGAGTTCTTCCCCGGTTTCAGAACACACAAGAAGAAGATTAGAGCAGAATGAAGAAGAAACATGGGAAGAACTGAAAAGAGACTTAGCACAAAATTTCAGCGATGTCACAGACAGACAGATGGCCTTTTCCCTCTTACGACAGATCAAACAGGGCAAAGATGAGAGCATACAGAATTATTCGCAGAGAATACAGAGTCTCGCGCAAGATGCATTTCTTAAAGAAGAGATACAATCACAACAAACTCAGCTTATTTTAGTTTCAGTCTTTAGTGACAGTTTAAGGGACAGTTCACAAAAACTTCGTTTATTGCGTTCTGGGCCAACAACTCTAGAACAGGCAGTAGCCATAACTCTTAAGGAAGAGAGTTTAAGACGAAAAGTGTTCCTTCAAACTGGACGAAGAACAGAAGAAGAAGAAGATATTAGGTTGACGGAACCCATGGACATATCACATTTTAGAACACACAGAGAAAGACACACAAATGAGAGACACAGACACTCTAACATACAGGCAGTGCAACACACTTTAACGTGTTATAACTGTTCAGGCCCCCATAAAGTCCGATTTTGCCCGGCAGGTAACCGACCCACAACACAGCCGATAAACCGACCGCTCGTTAACACAGATTTCAGAGGTGAAAGGTCGTGGCAGGTCAGTCACAGAAGTCAGGGATTTAACACACAAAATAACGGCGGCTGGAGAAACCATTATTCGGGAAACGCGAAATCCGCTCGCTGGCCGAGGCACAGCTGAGCGACGGACGAGACATAGCCTCTAAAAGTTCAGTAAGACACAAGAGAGATAACGAAATGAATAGGCAGAAGAGGGTTACAAACCATAGACAGATTAATGCATCAGGCAGCCCGTGTTGCTGTTTAATAGAAATCAACAATAATAAGTTTAATAGTCTGGTGGATTCAGGAGCAGATTTGTCACTTCTAAATTACTCGGTATTTAAGAGGATTAGAGGTAGTATAGAGTTACATCACACAAAAGAGAACTTACAGTCTGTCACCGGAGCCAGCCTATCAGTTTTAGGTAAAGCCATGATTCCGTTTTCCATCGGTGGAATACATCTGACACATCATTTTATCATAGTAAAAACAATGAACCGTCATTTAATTATAGGACGGGACATATTAGTTAAACATGGCATAAGGCTATATTTTGACCTTAAAAAGCTTAGAATTAGAGATAGGTACGTAGATCTTAGAGATGACATTCACGTTGCTTCGGTGGTACGTGCTAAACAAACAGTCATCCTAAAACCTAATTCAATCAACGTAGTGCTGTGCCACATCTGTAGTACTTGTAGTATTGTTATATGCACTGGTATACTTGTGTATGTGTTTCCATTTCCTTCTGTTTCCCAACAACCATTGATTTTATCTGCTGCTACTTTTCATCTTTATTTAATCCATCACAATTCTGTAGTACTTGTAGTATTGTTATATGCACTGGTATACTTGTGTATGTGTTTCCATTTCCTTCTGTTTCCCAACAACCATTGATTTTATCTGCTGCAACTTTTCATCTTTATTTAACCCATCACAATTCTATATCCTTATCTGGTATAAGACATTGATCTGCGACTTACAACTCACTGTAGACTTGTGTAAGAGAACATACACGCTGAAAATAACAGACAACTCACTGTAGACTTGTGTAAGAGAACATACACGCTGAAAATAACAGACAACTCACTGTAGACTTGTGTAAGAGAACATACACGCTGAAAATAACAGACAACTCACTGTAGACTTGTGTAAGAGAACATACACGCTGAAAATAACAGACAACTCACTGTAGACTTGTGTAAGAGAACATACACGCTGAAAATAACAGACAACTCACTGTAGACTTGTGTAAGAGAACATACACGCTGAAAATAACAGACAACTCACTGTAGACTTGTGTAAGAGAACATAAAGGCTGAAAATAACAGACAACTCAGTGTAGACTTGTGTACGAGAATATAAAGGCTGAAAACAACAGACAACTCACCCAACGCTGTGTGCCCTTTAGTGTGTCTGAGAATATCACTGTGGGTTTTTGGCAGGTCTTCATCTTTTGGCAAGTGGTATCGAGTGAAGGACATGAAGCAATAGAACTTTGAGCGTGATTTGTGGGGAAACAGAGGTGAGGTTATCAGTTCTTTGCCAAAGTAGCTCCATAGCTCATAGCTGAGTCGGAAATGAAAGAATATATAATATATATATATATATTTTTTTTTTTTTTAATTTTAAAAATATATAATTAATACAAACATATAATTTTCACAGATACACTAACTGAGAAACACTTTTGTAGATGATCATTTAAGCGAAACACAAGCCTGTCAGAGTTATGCTTTTTGTCTTGACGCATGGGCATATCAAGCAGTTGTTATGTTGTTATATCGATAACTGACATATTTATTCCCTGGAGTGGTGCGTTGGCAGGGACCTCTATACAGCTTTTCCTGGAGACCATAATAATATTTAGACATGTCATAAAAAGTATTCCGGTAACTATAATTAAAGCAACGTAGAGTGATTAAACAATAGGCTGCATTGTACAGTGGAGTCCCAGGATAAAACAGAATACAGGCAGCTTGTGTCGATTCTAGAATATACATCCATTTGGATCTTTGCTGGGAGTGTGTTCGTGCATTTGCTAAAAAAATTTATTGAGAAGGCCACTGACATGCTTCTCATTGGACTTGGTAAAAAAGTACAAAACCCGAGCATAGAATAAACAGCTAAAAGAGCCTTTCAGGCCTCCTCTGTTCTGCCCATCATGGTTGTACATGCAAGTATAATGCTTATAGCCTCGTTCTGTATCCTTTCTATCCTCTCCATCTGCTTATGGTAGAGAGTCAGGATCGCCATCGCATACTCAAAGACAGACAGGACCGGATCCTGATAAAGAAACCTAAATGTCGCTGGTCACAGTTTGCCGCTGCCAACACGCTCATCGCAGCCAGGCCCCGCTTGTCTTTTATTGTCACCTGATCTATGTGCTCAGTTAAAGCAGGGCTTCAATCACTTTTCACAATTTCTGTTGTTGGCGTTGGGGTACTGACAGTGTGGTTATCTAAAGAGAACTCGTCAGTGATGGATTGTTTATGCGGCTAAGTTCTGTTTGTAGTTATCTAGCAACATGCTTTCTGTCTTTACCATGACGATACACTAACTAAGATATCGTCAGCGTACGACAACGTCTTCCCTTGTCCTGTGATCGGCTCGCCTGTGATTTTCTCTGCGTAAACTTTGAACAGCACCGAAGACAATTGAGATCCCTGTTGCAGGTCGGGATGTATAGTTGTAGGTTCGGAAGTCCAGCTGCCGCATCTAAAAACTACTTCTCGTTGGAAGAGGGCTGTAGAGATCCAAATGAGAAGAAATGGGCATATTTTGACTTCAAGAAGCTGTATCATTCAAAAGTCTGACGGCACTCTGTTGTACGCATCCTCAAGATCAATAGTTGCCGCACAAGTTTCATTAACCAAATGGAAACCTTCCTACACGTCACGGGCACAAACTGCTGCATTGGTCCAGGTTTTGTTTTGTTTTGTTGGGAAAGTACCCTCCAAGGGTAGATGGAAGAATACATTGTCTCTCGACCTGGAACGATTTTTTTTTCGAAGAGGGGGGGGGGGGGTGTCAATTATCTTCTCTGAATGCTTACCTTTAGTATTCTGCATGGTGATTCTCCGAGGTATCAGATGGCTCCTGGTTGATACTAGCATTAGCCAAACTGTTGCTGTACAGATCTGCTAGTTCTTCTAGCTCAACTTCATTACATTTACCAATGTGATCCTACCTTATACCATCTGGACCTTGTGCACTCTTGTTTGTTCGTGGTAGTACAGCTTTGATCTCATCAACTGTCACTGTTTTCTTCGGTAATTTTCTGCGACCTACTACACCTGTCTAAAGCAGCCATCTTTGACGAAACTACGCCCTCGCTAGTCTGTTTGAGCACTCTGTTGTAAACAGTGTTCTAATAGAGACTTGTCCTTGTTTTCTCTGGGCTCTGCCAGGTGAGGTCAGCACTCTGAAAGGAAATTCCTGTTTTTTTGACAGTTCTGTTCATACTTTTAAATAGTCGCTAGAACAATTTCATTTATTTATCTTTGCTTATTTTTGACACAATTCTACACATTTCTCACCATTAAACACCTTAAACAGCTTTTTTGAAACAACCAGCTTTTGGGTTCTTTTCTATTTTCAGATGCAGGATATAAATAGACTGGTCAATTCTGTTTCGTCTGGCATTTTCCTCTTCTCTACAGCACAAGGCTTATCCATCTAAGCTTTCTCCACCTCACAGTTCCATCGAAAAGGCTGCTCTCAGCATTTCTTCTGTTCGTGTTGATTCCCGTGCTTGTCTCGTCTTAGTTTACACACCACATCCTGTCCTTTAATGTCATTTTTTAAAGTTTTAAGCTTTTCCTTGTGATTTCTTCATCTGCTTTTCTCTACCAAAATACAGCAGGGGTGGTAGTCGCCCTCTGTCAGTACCCTATTACAGCCCATGTACACACTGAAGTCAGTGAAGGCGAAACCAGAGCCAGGTCAGTAACACTCTCCTCATCATCTGGTCGACTTGCAGTCCTTGTGACCCAGGATCTGTTAATACAAACTAAGTCGATGCTGGCATGTGCAGTCTCAAGCTCTTCCTTCTTTGTGATACAATCAGTGTTACCCTACGATCTGCCTATGATGTATTTAAATCACTACAGAAAATGAGTCTTTTCGTGATGAATTTAAACTTCACCTAAGCAATACCATCTTTGGGAATCCATGCTCACGTTGCAGGCATAAATATTCACCGATACAACAGGACGAATGCACTGAATTGGCATTGCTTGCATTTGTACCTTCTCGCCGTCCCACTGAGACATGTCCAACTTCTGAAGCAATTATACTGTCGCGACCCAGGTATCGTTTGCTGTAAAATAAACTTAAACTCGGCAATGCGAAGTCTCCTATAAAGCAACAATATCGCTATTGTAAGTCAAGCGTTCCGGATTTTGACCTCGTAACACAATTCCGGTACAGAATAGGAATATTTCAGCGATTGTTCTGGCTCCGGCGCGCTTACCTTGTGGTTTTCGCCCACTGGCTGACTTCTAAAATCGTTTCTTTTTTTATGTGTGAGGCACAAATTCTAGTCCTCGTGGTTAAAAGAAAACCAGTTACATCGCACAGTATCGATGAACACAGAAGCTGAAAGACCAACTCAACTTTCGCACAGATGCACGAACTCCACATGACTGGCGAAAATATCGAGAAAAATAAAAACTTTTTGTTTCCCATACTGGCACAGATAAATACATGCCAATGAATAAAACTATTCATCTTCCTGTGCCAGTGGAAATAACTGTCCTTCATTGTCCCGTTAAAAAGAATAGGGGAAAACGCTACAGAGCTGTGAAGAGCAGAGGTAACCCGTAAAACAAAAATAACAGTGTCAACATTGAACAGATTTGCGGCGAAATCTTAGACAAAAGAGAACATACCCTGTCATAGAATAGGCCTCCTCCAGTCTTAATTTACTTTTGAAGACATGACAAACTGGCAAATTGTCCGAGTCCATGTCCAGTTGGAATGTCGATCGACCGAAACCATGTTCTTTCATTTTCTCTGCTGTCAGCGACTGGATGATTTCAGCGCCAAAACTGATTCTCTTGATGGCGGATGTGGGCGAGCAATCAATGTTCTCGGGACCCTGATCAAATTAGATTCAAATTTGTTCATAGACATACATTTATGTTTAATGTGTCGTGTATGTACACAAGACATGTTTGCAGTTAATCTGCAGCAAAAAAAAATTTGAGACGACAACCGAATGGTTAACACAAGTCGGAAATAACGCCAATGATGATTTAAAAAAAAAAAAAAAATTGTTAAAAAAAAAAAAAAAAGAAAGTTTCTAAAAAAACGAGATAAAATAAAATAAAATATGATTAGGATGAAGGAATGCTGAACATTGATGCCTGCTGATTCAGCACACACTGACTGTGAAACTTTGAAAGACAAATATTTGCCGTGATTACCAGAGCAAGATGTTACAGTGCTGACAGGTAGATTGTTGCATCTTCCTAGTCAGACCTGTTGAAATGAACAGGGACTGGTTTGGAGTGCCTCCTTGTCAATATCCAAGAGATATTCACGGAAATAGATCAACTTTTTCCTCCAGTTTCTTTTCTGTGTTTTTTTTTTTTTTTTCCGCATTAAAAAAAAAAAAAAAAAAAAACCTGTGCATTTTATAAATTAACTTATTGTGCCATTTAAAATCGTTTAAGAAGAATTCTTTCCGTGTTCCATAGTTGTGGATTTCAAGCTTTGCGATACATATTATACGTATTATACATGCCAACGAAGACACCTTTTTTGGAGGTACCTAGTACGTTGTGTTATTTGTGCAGTTGTTTCCATTGTGAAGCACACGCCATTTGGAAGTGACAGGTTCGATTACCAGCACAGTTCTTACAGATTTCGAATTTTATATTGTCTAGTGTGTCCTTATGTCTTTCTACGTCTTTATATGAGTACCGATCAATACTTTGTCTCTTTGTTAATTATATAAGTGTATTTGCATCTTTCACAGACCTCTAAATCACACGTTTATCTATGGATTCAGTAGATTAATTTATGGATACTGACTTGACTGCAGTGGTTCCCCTATTTATCACTTTCATAGCCTACAAAAGTGAAAAGTTTGAATATCTGAGGTCTTTTGATAACCACAGGATAGCTAGAGTCAAAATATACGCCTTTACCCAGATAAAGAAGAGACAGACACCGCTAAACATATAAGCCATCTAATGTTGCTATAAAGTCACACTGAAATATTTTTTACACCTCAGGTGGTAATTCATATTAATTCGAATAACTGAAGAAAAAAAAAATAAACGCACTGAAAGTTTGGTCATCAGAACATGTAAACACACACACACACAACACACACACACAGACACACACACACACACATAGTCAGTTGAAAACACACACAGACATCACAGACACACAACTGCAAAATATAAAATATATATTTGTAATTGAATCTTACTAAAAACGACTAAATCAAGTGTTGATAAAAAAAAAACAACGTTAAAATTTAACAGTCTCCGTCTAAGTCTGACACTTTCGTGACATCTGGGTGTTTGTCCATTTCTGCAGATCCATCCGAACTCGCAAATGTACTGGGTGCAAAATATATATTCTTGTGATTTCTGTTTGTTCTATCTCCCTAAGATCTTAGGCGTATCTTAAACGACCTTGCGGAGTTTTCATTTTGAGACTGCCAAAAACACTGAAAACAGTCTGTCCGAGTGAAAATTTTCGCGTGTGACCATAGTGGTCTTATATAGTGTAATAACAGTGAACATATCGTTTGGAAAAAAATGCTTTCGAAATATGAATACATAGTAACAACAACAAAAATAACAAAGAAATGAATCATAAACAAATCAGAATAAACAAATGGATCACGTTAACAGATGACGGTGTGAGAAATAAAATATCAGATTTAACATTTGCGCCAGAGAGGAGGTTGGCCACAGTCACTGGTGTCTCTGGTAACCATGCATCGTGAGATTGCAATCTTTTCCACGTGGTCTCTTTGGTAACATTGTTCCAGTGCCACCAATTTTTTTTTTTTTTTTTTTTGTTGTTGTTGTTCGTAAATCATCCACCACGGATATCGAACCCCTGTTCATCAAGAATCATGGAGGAAAAAAAAACAATTACTGCAAGCAAGGGAAATTCGAGAAGTTATTAAGACAGTCAGCAAACAATCACTTGAAAGCTCAGGGAAGGGAAAGAAAAAGACATGCTCACATGCAGTGAAACGTTCTCATCCAGGCTGAGAAACGAGCAGCAGGAACAACATTATCTATGTGGGAGATTGTGAAACGTGTTCACTAAACCCAAAGCAACAGAACAACAAATATATTCACCACACAGAAAGACACAACTATGCTAAACCAATGTTATAAGAAAATGCAGAAGGCTGGACTGCAAATATAAAAAAGGAGATAAGCTGGGAACATCTTTGACATCGGCAACATACAAAACACACCCGTAACACGTGTAAAGTTCTCTTAGGACTTAATGGCGGCTACGGTGTCACAGCGTCTGGTGGGAGGATAAGTACTTCTTCATTTGATTTGAGTGATACAGACTTCCCATTCCTGTTTGCATATTTTCTGTAACTGATGCCAGAGATTTCTATAGTTCGTTCAACAATAGATAAGTCACACATACAAAGAATTCTCGCAAAAATTGCCTGTTATATCGCACTGATTTTTTGCATGCAGACTTAGAACATCAATGAAGTTAAGGAAATATGTTTTTCACTAAAGAAGAATATCATGTGTAATTGTTTTTTTTTTTTCCTCTTTACGATAGATATTTTTATCATGAAAACGTCTTGGTAGACTTTTGGAAGGTTTACTTTCATTAGTTTCAGGAAGTAATGCACACTATGATTGGTTTACAGGGAGTCAAAGTAACGGTGATTTTCTCGCTCGTTTTAGTGACCGGAAAACGTGAGATTTTAAAAATGTTAGAGACAAATCAACTTGTTACTCTCCGAAAACTAAAATACACACGATTCAAATTAGGACATGGTTTGCAAAAAAAAAAAATGACGACACATATTTGAAGCCAGAGTTTTTGCAGCTTGTGAGGAAAACAAATAAGACAAAGGTGTATCACACTGACAAAATCATGAATGAATAAGGACACACTTTTCTGCGACTCCCTGCGTATCATTCACACCTCAACCCAATAGGACGTGTTTCGGCTAAAGCCCAAAAAAAAAAAAAAAAAAATTGCCAAAAAGAACAGTACATTTAAAATGTGTGATGTTGAAGTTCTGACATGTGAGTTCCTCTTAAAAAAATAGACATTCATGTCTGAAAAAAATGTGTGAAACATGTGCCCGAGAAGAAGACGAGTACTGCCACCGAGAAAGTTTACGATTTGTTCAGCCAGTAACAATTATCAACCTTTTTGGATCGTTAGATTCGGAATGAATAAAACCATTTTTCGATGAGTGGATGAATATCATCAGCCCGTTAGGTATATCTACAATTGCAACAAATACATCCAGCCCGTTAGGTACATCTACAATTGCAACAAATACATCTCCATATTCAAATGTGTCAACTATAAAACAATTTAATGTACAGTTAAAATACACCCTGTGGTCTAATGGTGACCGAAGGGGAATACTAACTGTTGCACATTGGGGACATGTTTATAATTGAACAAGGCAGACAGATTGGCTGGATCTGCACCACTGGGGCAGTTTATACATGACAATGCATATGTGGTTAAGGCCCTTTGAGAACAAGTAATAAAGTCAGAAGAGAAAATAAATTATCATGCCTGGAGAGAATGATACACCCGGGTGTGAACAGAGGGCCTGGCCGGCACACTACACTCAGAGGAATGGCAAGATGGACATATAATCAGACTGCGTCTGGTACCATTAGTACTGGAAGTCTGCGCTGGCTGCTGAAGATGTGGATGCCCCAAGTGCTGTGATGTCTTTCTTGACTCAGTTCAACTCAACTCAGTTGAACATAAATGACAACAAATACATTTACTTTACCTTTCAATGTATTATAAAGATACGCCTCTGAAAAAAAAATAGAACCAGAAATTTCGATTTTTACTTTTTGTTTTCGTTTGTTGGATACGCGTAGCTGATAAGACTTCCACAGTGTGTTTTTCCCTGTGTCTCAATTCGATCTCATTTTGATATTCTGTTAAAGAAAGTTCTCTCAGCAGTGACCGAAAACGGTCTCTGATAAAGGAGATAGGTAATGATGGACTGGCGGATTGTTTAAGTGTATCCACATGAGAATAAACATATTGTTGATGATATGTTGCTTTAGCCGTTGATGAGACTTTACCACCAGAACTGATCTGATGCTTTCTTCGTTATAATCAAGTGCCCTGCCGACTGGTGGGGTTGATCATGCCTCTCCACAATCGACGGTCTTCAATGCTGGGTTTCATGCCTCTCCACAATCGACGGTCTTCAATGCTGGGTTTCATTGCCTCTCCACCACAATCGACGGTCTTCAATGCTGGGGTTTCATGCCTCTCCACAATCGACGGTCTTCAATGCTGGGTTTCATGCCTCTCCACAATCGACGGTCTTCAATGCTGGGTTTCATGCCTCTCCACAATCGACGGTCTTTCAATGCTGGGTTTCATGCCTCTCCACAATCGACGGTCTTCAATGCTGGGTTTCATGCCTCTCCACAATCGACGGTCTTCAATGCTGGGTTTTCATGCCTCTCCACAATCGACGGTCTTCAATGCTGGGTTTCATGCCTCTCCACAATCGACGGTCTTCAATGCTGGGTTTCATGCCTCTCCACAATCGACGGTCTTCAATGCTGGGTTTCATGCCTCTCCACAATCTACGGTCTTCAATGCTGGGGTTTCATGCCTCTCCCACATCTACGGTCTTCAATGCTGGGTTTCATGCCTCTCCACAATCTACGGTCTTCAATGCTGGGTTTCATGCCTCTCCACAATCTACGGTCTTCAATGCTGGGTTTCATGCCTCTCCACAATCTACGTCTTCAATGCTGGGTTTCATGCCTCTCCACAATCTACGGTCTTCATGCTGGGTTTCATGCCTCTCCACAATCTACGGTCTTCAATGCTGGGTTTCATGCCTCCCACAATCGACGGGTCTTCAATGCTGGGTTTCATGCCTCTCCACAATCTACGGTCTTCAATGCTGGGTTTCATGCCTCTCCCCAATCTACGGTCTTCATGCTGGGTTTCATGCCTCTCCACAATCGACGGTCTTCAATGCTGGGTTTCATGCCTCTCCACAATCGACGGTCTTCAATGCTGGGTTTCATGCCTCTCCACAATCGACGGTCTTCAATGCTGGGTTTCATGCCTCTCCACAATCGACGGTCTTCAATGCTGGGTTTCATGCCTCTCCACAATCGACGGTCTTCAATGCTGGGTTTCATGCCTCTCCACAATCTACGGTCTTCAATGCTGGGTTTCATGCCTCTCCACAATCGACGGTCTTCAATGCTGGGTTTTCATGCCTCTCCACAATCGACGGTCTTCAATGCTGGGTTTCATGCCTCTCCACAATCGACGGTCTTCAATGCTGGGTTCATGCCTCTCCACAATCTACTCAACGGTTCTTCAATGCTGGGTTTCATGCCTCTCCACAATCTACGGTCTTCAATGCTGGGTTTCATGCCTCTCCACAATCGACGGTCTTCAATGCTGGGTTTCATGCCTCTCCACAATCGACGGTCTTCAATGCTGGGTTTCATGCCTCTCCACAATCGACGGTCTTCAATGCTGGGTTTCATGCCTCTCCACAATCTACGGTCTTCAATGCTGGGTTTCATGCCTCTCCACAATCTACGGTCTTCAATGCTGGGTTTCAGTTCGTCTGTTGCCACCCTTCTATGTCATGAAAAAAAAGGTTATCAGGAATTATTTTGTGTTGTCTTTCTGTGTCACTTCCCACATATCCTTCCTGTGTCACTTCCCACATATCCTTCCAGTGTCACTTCCCACATATCCTTCCTGTGTCACTTCCCACATATCCTTCCAGTGTCACTTCCCACATATCCTTCCTGTGTCACTTCCCACATATCCTTCCTGTGTCACTTCCCACATATCCTTCCTGTGTCACTTCCCACATATCCTTCCTGTGTCACTTCCCACATATCCTTCTGTGTCACTTCCCACATATCCTTCCAGTGTCACTTCCCACATATCCTTCCTGTGTCACTTCCCACATATCCTTCCTGTGTCACTTCCCACATATCCTTCCTGTGTCACTTCCCACATATCCTTCCAGTGTCACTTCCCACATATCCTTCCTGTGTCACTTCCCACATATCCTTCCAGTGGTCACAACATATTCCAGTTTTATTCTTCTCATAACATGAACAAAAACATTTTGACTTATCTTTCTGATGTTTGTGATAAGTGGTCTTCGAGTTCTAGCCTTTTTCAAAGTATCTGGGTTGCTCTTTTTGGCTGTCCAAGGAATTCCAAGGATTCCTTTTGAGAAACCACCTGTCCGGAGACTTAATACGATTTTTTGACTTTCTGATTAATTGTCCAGGATTCACAGATATAGATTAAAACGGTATCTGTGTAGCTTGCGAGAATGATTTTTTCAAACTTTTAGTGACATGGAATTGTTACATCAAATTGTGTATTCATAGAAAACAGTTAACGGGTCCCAGTAGTAGGGGCACAGCAAGTGAGTCCACAAGACAAACAACCAGGGTCCTCGTCCAGATAAGTGTCTTCTCCTGGTAATAACGTTTGTTTTAAGTCTTTTGAGTTATGTAAATCAGTTATGAAAAGGATCCTTTAAAGTCGGCGTGCATCTGCCTGAGGCGAGGAAACCAGAGTCTGCATACAATAAGCGAGACGGATGGGTACTCAGAACTCAAGGTCTGCAACCAGACTAAGTCCAGAAGTGGAGAAGCAGCCAGAATTGTCTGCCGGAGTTTACAGTTAATGAAATGATCTAGCTTCCGACACTGGCACAACACTTGATGATACTGTCATTACGTAAATAAACATCAGTCTAACTGACCTGAAAATAGCCATCGTCGTCGGCACACACTAGATATACTGGCCGGACAATGTGGCTGAAACCTGGGATTTCATACACCAGCCTCAGGGACAGAGATTCTTGGTTGAACTGCAGCTTAACGGTGTTCTCGCCAGGTTGCAGTCTCACCAAAACCTACAAACAAAACCACACAGTTACACAGTAATGTACGGACAGGACAACGCTACAGAATACTGTTTTAAACACTTTGTTATCACAGACAGCAGCTGTCTCTTCCATTCTCTCCTATCTCTGAAAGAGTCAGCAATATCAAGCAAGACAAAACGTCTTGTAATTTCCTCAACACTTCATGGTGAGACTTGCGTATGCACAGCCAGAAATAATTATATAACTACCGAATTGCCTGAGAAATACATAAATCATATTTTTAGTATTTATCAGATCCGAATATAGCACATTAATTTATTTCCGCACCCGTCAAAATGTTCTCATCATCTCATCTTATCACTAATAATAGCTCACAAAACATGAATCATGTATATATATTGATTGATGATTGTTGCACGGTGCAAAAACATTGGCAAGAAAAAAACAACGCGAGGCGAATACTGAAGATTATTGGATGTGATTCTAAAGACGAATATTAGAAACATAGCAAATACACAAACATCCGCATACACACACACACACACACACACACACACACAGAGAGATAGATAGAGAGAGAGACAGAGAGAGAGACAGACAGACACAAACAACAGACACAGATAGACACACAGACAGACAGATACAAACAGACAGAGACAGACAGACACAACCAGACAGACAAACAGACAGACAGACACACAGACAAACAGACAGACAGACAGACAGACACACAGACAAACAAACAGACAGACAGACAGAACAGACATACACACAGACAGACAGACAGACAAACAGACAAACAGATAGAAAAACACAAATAGACAAACAAGAGAAGTATCACAGAAACAGGAATTAAAGAAAACATTGTTGCATAATGAGACCAAGTCGAACAATGTTGAGTAAACTGACGATAAAAGGAAACATTCCTCATCGAACCAAAGAACGAACCAACTTTGACTGTAATGGGTCACACAAGGCGCCCACGTGAGAGGGATAAATGAGGGCGTCAAGGGTGAATTAGGAAACAAAAGTTGAAACCCGAATTCTTACCTTAAAATGTCCGTCGATAACTGGCCAGCTAATGACTCCTTTGGGTTCACTTGATAGAGAGACTTGGAGCGACCCATCGACATGATTACCCTCTACCTGCCCTGTCAGAAGAGGGGTAGAGTATATGACAGTCTCTCCGTCCGATATGTTGTCTATCCGGATCTTCATTCTATCGGTGCACCATATCTGCTAGTGACCTAGTACAGAGCTGGTGTGTGGACAGATACTTATTTGTGTTGGACAGCATGGAGCGCTGGCTGGTTGTCCAGTTTCACGTCACGTCATTTTTTGGCTTCTGCGCCTAAAGAGAAAAACAAAAATATACTGACAGGTATATCATTTCAGTTAAATGGCATGTTGACAGCGTAGGCTAGAATGTATTATGTAAATAAACGTTTTAACACGGACACATTTCAATTTGAGTTTAATTACGCTGTAAACTTGTAAGAGCAAATACTTACACGTAAGCTGGGGTGCTAAATGCATTTTACAAGACCCTTCCACGCGTTGGCAAAGGCACGAACGAGAAACGCAGGCTAATTTGTACAGATGTCACTTGTTGGCTCAGAACTGGCGATGTTATCAAGTTCTTCTTGAGGACATATTGCTTCTAATAATTTGGCATCCTTATTCTACATGCAAGCTCCTGCAAGGGACCTTTTATTTCCAGTAGTATAAAAGTGCCTTTACTACCTGTATTTGCTACAATTTAGGAATAATGGTATGTACGAGAAAAGGGTTTTATCGAGTCTTGATAAACCAGGCCTACAATGGGTTACAGATGATTTCCCAGGAAGTAAAAGCGGTCTTGGTGAAGTTCACTGCATCGCCCATCGGGTGCTGATTGGTCTGAACAAATGTCGGTCGTGTACTATATTCTTGATGGGCCAAGGCCTGTACAGTGTCCATTGCCTTTAATTTTTAGTCGCAGTAAAACAATGAGAGGCAAACCGACAAATATATAGCAGACATGGCTACAGTAACACTGCATGAATGTAAATAAAGGCAGAGATAGAACGGACATCAACGCATTGAATGTGCCTATCGGCTGATGGAATGCTGCTCTCACACAGAAACATTAATGTCTGAAGTAAAGAGTGCAAATATAAACAATTACATTGGCATTCCTAAAAAGAGCATTGCAGAATTGAATACACTGCCCTAATTAACTATGCAGGGAAAGCAATGGCCCGGTAATGCTAGCAAACATCGTTGCTATCTTATCATCAGCCACTTTTCCTGCATTGATTCAATCAATATCATTACACTGGCTCTCTGCTCCCAAACTGGCCAGTTTTTTGGGGCACGCTGCGGCCGTCAGCCGCAATGTGACAACGTAAAACAAGTTTCCCTGTAGAAATAACTGCAAGCAATGTTGTTCCAAGGAACTTTGTTATTTTCAGTGGCCAAAGTCAGTTCAGTCTCCTGTAAATGAAATGACCGACCAACACACAAGGCTTCGTGCTGCCAATAGTAGACCTACACTTGTCTCAGAGGTTTTGCCTAGGCTGTAGATATATTTGAGACATGTATAAAATAAGTAGATATCGGTGTCTGGTGATGTTATTTCATGAAATATAAACGGCTGGGTTATCTAAATGCTAATCCGGTTCCCGGGGAGGGGGATGTAGTGTCAGTGCTAGTGAATAAGCCACAGACCAGTATGTTGCCAACCAATTTACTAACATTTTGACTGCCAGGAAAATTTTTATAACACGCACACACACTATAATAGTTGATTTTCTAATGTTAATTGCGTCCTTGAGCTCTCAGATCCACCACACTTTAATGACATGCACAAATAATTTTATGCTAAAAACCATAAAACAGTAATGGCACACAAAAATTAAAATACCAAAACATGATATACTCGCGTCCTACACAATAACTGATAGAACTCCCACTAAGATTAAAGCAGTTATGGTTAGGTTTGTTGTTGTCAACTATACTTTGGTTCCGTCGTCACCGATAGAACCCACACTAGGATCAAAGCAGTTATGGTTAGGTTTGTTGTTGTCAACTATACCTTGGTTCCATCATCACTGATAGAACCCTCACTAAGATTAAAGCAGTTATGGTTAGGTTTGTTGTTGTCAACTATACTTTGGTTCCAACGTCACCGATAGAACCCACACTAGGATCAAAGCAGTTATGGTTAGGTTTGTTGTTGTCAACTATACCTTGGTTCCATCATCACTGATAGAACCCTCACTAGGATTAAAGCAGTTATGGTCAGGTTTTGTTGTTGTCAACTATACCTTGGTTTCATCATCACTAATAGAACCCACACTAGGATTAAAGCAGTTATGGTTAGGTTTTGTTGTTGTCAACTATACCTTGGTTCCATCATCACTGATAGAACCCTCACTAGGATTAAAGCAGTTATGGTTAGGTTTTGTTGTTGTCAACTATACCTTGGTTTCATCATCACTGATAGAACCCGCACTAGGATTAAAGCAGTTATGGTTAGGTTTTGTTGTTGTCAACTATACCTTGGTTTCATCATCACTGATAGAACCCTCACTAGGATTAAAGCAGTTATGGTTAGGTTTGTTGTTGTCAACTATACCTTGGTTCCATCATTACTGATAGAACCCACACTAGGATTAAAGCATTTATGGTAAGGTTTGTTGTTGTCAACTATACCTTGGTTTCATCATCACTGATAGAACCCACACTAGGATTAAAGCAGTTATGGTTAGGTTTGTTGTTGTCAACTATACCTTGGTTCCATCATCACTGATAGAACCCACACTAGGATTAAAGCAGTTATAGTTAGGTTTGTTGTTGTCAACTATACCTTGGTTCCATCATCACTGATAGAACTCACACTAGGATTAAAGCAGTTATAGTTAGGTTTGTTGTTGTCAACTATACCTTGGTTCCATCATCACTGATAGAACTCACACCTTCTTGTCTCACGAGTTTTGGGCACTCAAAGAGATGGTGTTCAACAGTTTTTCGTAGGGGTATTACATAGCTGGCACTCTGGGGAGTGTTGTGGCTGTATTCTGTTTAGGTGTCCATTGAGTGGAGTATGTTGCGTTCTAAGTCTGAAGATGGTGGCCTGGTCCCTTCTTGTTAGATGGTTAATGCTGTCATTAGGATCAGGGCCAGACATATGTCTATAAACCTCTCTTCCAGTGTCTCCCATGGCCATCTGTTCAACCAAGTCTCTTTGTTTATAGCTCTTATCAGTGTTTTTGCTGTCTGGAGGGTTGTCGCTGTAGGTGGTTGTTCTTGTGTTGCTCCTTTCTCTTTGCCAATCTGTCAGCTCTGTCATTACCTGGTGTGCCGGAGTGACCCTGGAATCCACTGCATCACTATTCTGATGTTGTATGAGGTAATAAGCCTGATCAGCATCCAGGATTATCTTGGCTATGTCAGTTCTGCAGCGTTCATTGCCCTCCAGAGCTTGAAGGGCAGACATTGAATCTGTGAAGATGACAATATTTTGGACCTTTGAGGGGTAAACATCCATTACAGTCTTTAGGTGGTATACTGCTGTTTCCAGTGCAATTATTTCAGCTTCATAGTTTGAACAGAATTCCCCGCATGCATCAAAAATCTCTTCAACAGATCCATCGGGATATCCTATGTAGATTCCGTAACCTGCTTTAATGGTAGCTTTAAATGCTGATCCATCAGTATAGACATGTATCCATTCTTAGGGGTAAGAATCAACGGTCTTTAGTGATGAGTTCATAAGAGCGATTGGGTCGGACTGTTTGGTTTCCTCGCCTACCAATTTAGTTTGGACTTCTGGAGCTTTAAAGCGAGCATGTGGTGGTAGGTCTTTTGCAACATTCTGAATTCCTTGACGTCTTTCTGGGAGGTGGTATCTTTCCTGAATTTCATTAACACAGTGTAAAACCGATTTGTGCTTTATTCTTTGTTTGGATTCCCAGTTTTCTACAAGATGTCTATTAGGATGGTTACGAATTTTCCTAACGCTTCTTTCATAAATTTCTAAAGTGGCTTTTTCTCTCCGCAACCCGAGGGGTTCCACATTTGTATGGATTTCACATGCAGCAGTTGGTGTAGACTGCATAGCTCCGCAGATTAGGTTTGTTGTTGTCAACTATACATTGGTTCCATCATCACTGATAGAACCTTCACATGGATAAAAGCAGTTATGGTTAGGTTTTGTTGTTGTCAACTATACCTAACCCTAACCCTAAATGTAAAGCTGTTTGGAGGACATGGAAACAATAATTTACCAAGCAACTGTATTGAAAAAATATTTTTAAAAAACTGCATTTTTGAACGAAAACCTTCTTACTTGCATAGGAGAATGGATGTCAAAATTGTAAAAGGAAGACGTCTATGAGCATCCTAGGTTTATAACAGCTAATTCTTCTTATTTGAAAAACGTTGTATGTTTTGGGCAACAGATAATGCCCTGTTTGGATTCAAACCACCACACCTTCACACTGAAGCATACTTGAAACATCTACTTTTGTAGTTGCTTCACAGGGTTCAGTGTTGGAATAACTAACTGTTAGTCTCTAAATCCCACTCGGAATTCCTGGCTACCGATCTGAAAAGTCGATATTTGTTGCTGATTAACATGACATTTCTGAAACGTCTTTTGTCCAAGTTGAGTGTTTGAGCTCTAGTTTGATATAATAAACTCCATCTTAACAGTGTCTGCGACAACAGCCAGACTATCTCTTGTCATTCTACACAATTTAGAGATGAGCATTTAAGTAGCAGTCGACAGTACTGCAACCATGTTGCTGCCACTGGCACATCAAGTGTATGGTGTTGGACTCATAGTGTTCATAGACCAACAGATACTCGATGGCTGAGGGGGGTCAACATTACACCTGTGAAATAGTTAAAAGTTGATTGACGTAGAAATTCGTGTGGATTAAAAACAAGATTCTAAGCAAGGCAGACATACTGTATGGTTTAAAAACAGATCTCGTCTGATAGGAAACGACTTAATTTCAATTCTCTTCTGTCAGAAAACGACTTCGCGTTTCAAAGAAAGCGAAAGTCTTTCCATTATTGCAGTAAAATTATGAGGGTCATATCGATACAACTAGTTAAACCATCAAGAAACAACCATGTATTTCACAAGTGGTGATCGCAAACTGTACTGTTATTCCAGTATATAAGCCTGGGGCACGGAGCCATTACCTTATCCTGTGTAAAATCGAAAC